GGCGGATGTGATGCTGAATGGCGTCGTTCGTGGAAAGCACCGCCCCGATCATCCTGGGATACGTCTTCGAGGGTTTAAAGGCGAGACATGTAGACTTTTGCGAGATTGCTACCCCCCATGTGCAAAAGGTTTATACAATCCAAATCGGAGGGGTGTTCATCAATGAAGGGTCTGCATTAGTCATTGAATCTGCTCCAGAAACGGTGCGAAACAACACAAAAGAGGATTCACCCACAGGGAAGGAACATCAACATCAACGTTAGTAAAACCAGTGACACCTCGGGGCATGGAATGATACTGACCGATTGGGACGAAAGATTGCCACCTTTGCCGATGGCTTCATGGGATTTCAATCCGCCGCGGAGACGATCGTTGGGACGGATTTTTGTTTGGCAGTGTTTGCTGTGCATCCATTATGTCACGAAGTCGATTGTCGATTGCTGCCCCCTCCAACATGGGTGTGTTTCTGAATAGGCGGACCACCCGGCCCAATGGATAGACTGGTCTATTTCCCTGGACCTTTGGGCGGTCTCCCGGTGTTAAAACACTCATATAATGTGATATCATATGGGCCATATGGAACCGGGTCGGGATGATTTGTTGCCAAGGAAGCTGAACAACATGTTCCTCTCGTAGTGATTTCGATGACATGCATCAAGCAGCATCAAGTTCCAGACATTTCACGACACCTTCAGTTGCCCAAGAACCCGCAGTCCGCAACGGAGGCGCTTTTTGATGCTCACATATCCCAAACACTCCATCATACTCCATCTATGCCATAGGACTGCCGCCCCGTTGACCCCCCTGGCACCACCCGAACTGATCGGCAGTCCTATGGCAGTCCCATTAGTCGTGTAAAGGGTATAGACGGTATGAGACTGTGACTTCCCGTGCGCACGCGCACTCCCTCCCACCGCCCTGGGTCGATCCACTTCCACACCGCCGGTCTGCCCGGGTCGGTCGAACTGATCACATTCGAACTGACTCATCCCAAAAGCATTGAGGTCGGGGGGCCCGAGATTGACCCCAAAACGTCCTGGGGCGACCTGAGGCAGCTCCAAACACCTGAGGCATCGTGGCTCAGGTGACCTGAGATTTCTCCATGTCCCCGACCAGTCCGAAGTCCCAGGCGCTCACGAATGAGGTCACCGATGTTGTTGATCGCTGCCAAGGTACCTCGGGCAGGGTGCCCAGCGGATGACTGCTGGGGGGTTCTTCATAGCGCCCTAAGTCCAAACACGATCTGAACCACTGAAGCTTCAGCGTCCACGGGTCAGGAACTGACTTCATGAGCACCTGGAGTTGCAAACACAAACACTTTTCACGGACCTGGACCCGGGTCAGGAACCAGGACCTGAACCTTTTCAGGGGTCCGGTCATGAGGGTCACCGCTGAGGCCACGAGGCGTCATCCGAAATCGTTTCGCAAACCCCGAAAGGAAGGGTGGCCGGCAGGGAACCCATCTTCCGTGCCTTGCGGAGGGCAAAAAGATGAAACGGATCCGAGATCATCTGAGGCAGGGTTTGAAAGGATGGGTGGGATCCTGTAGGATCGGAAGCCAACTCAGAACATGCATGCGGACATATCCAACAATATCCGATTCAGCATCAGTCAGTTCAACGCAGAGTTTTTTGAGAGTTTTGTGACTTCCACCCGAAGACATGACACATGGGACTGCCATAGGACTGTCGCCCCAGACTTGACCCCCTTTCAACCACCCCTGGCCGTTTCTCGGCAGTCCGGACTGGCAGTCCCATTAGTCGTGTTTGGGACCGGAAGACACTGATCTTTGGGCTTTGGTCTTGGCCACTGGGACCGTTGTTCCGTCTCGGCGTAGGAAGACATGGTTCCGAATCGGCGTAGGTTCTGCAAGGTCCCAAAACTCCGGTTCAACGAGTCAATCCAAACCTCGATGGGTCATTGGACCTTTTGCCATTGGAGCTACCTCCTCCCTGAAACAAAACAGAACACGGGCTCTGGATGATTTTGGGAGGTTGGTGTACTATACTAAGCCAGGCAATGGTCAAGAGGTTCAGTTCTCCCCGTAGTCCACTGGGAAGAACTTTAAAGATTTGGTTTACCAGCACTCGAGCGAGGGTCCACTAGCCGTCGACCAGTCATGAGTGTTGGTTCTAGAAGTCTGGAAAGAGCGAAAACATCGCCTCAGCATCAAAAAACAATTGTAACATGATTGCTGCAAGTGCAGCGTTCCGATTATTTCCAGCCCTTTCAATCGCCAAAGTGCTGTTGTCTGGTTCCTCATGGCTTCGCTGCGCCAACTGCAACAAGCTCTGCTCCAAGCGTTCCAAACCCACTGTCTGTTGGGCCTCGAACCGCAAGGAGCAACTGGCCAAATCGAACCAGAGAAGCTTAGCAAATGTTGGCACACCTGAGTTTGGGATCTATATAACATGATATAACATGGAACCTGATGGCATGGACCTTTGAAAGACGGCCTTTTCTCGAACCTGGTTGTTTTCCGGTTCCGGTCTCGGAATGCGGGCGCGACGGTGGCCCCATGCGAACGGCCAGGGTTAGGGCTGTTCAACACGCAGAACGGCCCGGCCCGTGACCCTTGGAATGTTGCGATGGACCTCCTGAAAATGAGTTACTTTCGGAGTCTTGGAGCGCCTGTCCACTCGAGTGACCTAGCCGCCAAGTTCCATCCTGAAAAAAGCCTGTCTTCCACCGAAACGAACCAACGGGGGGGCTGATGGACAGCGATGATGTAACAAGATCATGTCGTAGACGGTGGATGAACAATCCCCTCTTTGGATTGTTCATTCTCTCCGGGCTCTATTCTATCAACAATCCACACACCCCGAAATGATCGTGGAAGGCCACCACCTCTTTGGTCATTCCAGGGGCCACGCCGCCACCCCGGGAGTCCGGAAGTGACCACATCTGCGCAGCCCGGTGACCACGTTTGTACCGACCTCATCCGAACCCACGACCACCTCCACCGCCCCCCGCGCCTCGGAACCACTCGAGAGCGCCCAGGTCTCTGCCAGCGCGGCGAACCAATCGTTGGGCGGCGCCGAGCCGCCGGCGACCGCGCCGCTCGCGGCACGGACGCTCAGCGGTGCGAGGCCAAAAACTGCATTGAAGACCTTGGGGCATTGGGGCCACGTCGCTTTTCTTGGGGGGTCAGTTGAGGAGTTGGTTGCCACCATGATTGGGTGCTGAGAGTCCAAAACAACTCCAAGACCGGACTGGCACCGCCCTGGGACTGGCGACCTCAAAGCGACCGCTCCTGGGGGAAAGAACCAAAGATTTGGGGTACAAAACCGAAACTGTCAGGGATAGTTCTCAACTACATGAATCCACATGCACTGCGCACCTGCGGGAAGGAGCGCGAAAATCGAGCAAGGCATGGGCAAGAGCTTCCCCTATACAAGTCCAAAACCTCCAATTGAATGAGCTCCCTGACCAGTAGTGGTATACCTTCGATGGTCCTTGACTTTCAATCAGGGAGCCAGTGGTTCCAATCCCTTCACTTCAGAGAACCGCTTCCGTGTTCACACGGGCGACCGACCCCACAGACTGCGCTCCACCCGCCACCCGCGGGTGGAGGTGCGCTGGCGCGCCCTCCACCCGCCCTTCTCACCAAGCGACCAAGAGGACCCGAGCCATGGCGCTGGGAGGAACGGCAGGATTTGGCCAACCGCAGCGGCAGATCGGCCGAGAGATCGTAGACGCGCGCGAATCGGCGGGAGGCCAAACGGGTTGGGTTTTGGGATGGTGTTTTGTTGGGTTGTGAATGGACAGTTACAGGGGAGCAACAGCACCGAAGAAGGCGAACAAGGTCATTGTATCTTCGACGGATCCGATCCACATACCATTCCAGCCTACATCAAAGAGGCTCCTTCCTCACCTTCTCAGGTATGTGGATCCATAGGGCATTTCCATTGTCAGGCGGTGCGGTGCATGAAACAAGTCCATCTCACGCGAATGTGGGTATTTCCAACGGGCTTGGGGCAGGGAGACATTGGATTTGCTGTCCAGGAAGCATCAGGACGCTGGGAAAAATAAACATATTCCCGTCCAGGGGTGACCCATATTATATAATAGGCTATAACAAACTATAATAGTAGGGAACATGGATGTAAAACCAAGGAGATGTGTTTTCAGGGTCCTTTCCACAAAATCCACAGTTCATGAGGAGTGAAAAAGGGAAAACGGATGGCCAGCGACGGATATGGTGTTCTGCCCCTGCTTCTTTTCACACTAGACAGGCCTTTCTTGTCTTGGATCATGTCTCCATGTTCCGTTGGGAGGGTGAGTAGTTTGGAACCTGAAGCCTCTACCAAGTGGCGCTTCCATTTCTCCAAATGATGTCTTGAGATAGGCGAAATCTTTTCGAGTTAAGGGTTTTGGTGACCAGGTGGCCGGGAAGGTCATCTTTCATAAAACACCTTTTCGAATGTTTCTGGGTGAAACAAAGCATGATGTTTGATTCTTGGACTTGATTGTCCAAAGACACGAGATTCACGAAATGGACATCAAGATCCTGAACATCAAACTTCTCCTGGCTGGTGAACAACATACTTTCCGCAGAACTCCTGGTTCTGAAGGACGCCAACACAAACCAATGGTGGCAAACGGCTATAATATATACAAACCGCCGCTTGGAAATGGTTGGCTAAGCTTCTAGCCAGGGTTTTGCTTGAAGGAACCTGGATAAACCTCTTCCCTGTCAAAGAACTCACTCATCGTTACCCATGTCATTTCCAACTGAGGGGCAACCCAAAATATATACCAAATAGACCAAGGGATTCCGAGGGATTCCAGTCCATCTGCTCCAAAATGCTCCAAGTCCTCACAGATCTCACCCCCAAGTCGATCCCAAACACTCCATGGAACTGGCTACCGATCAGTTGACCCCGCCCTCGTTCCACTACCCCTGGGCCGTCCTATGCCGGTCCCAAACAGGTCTCACACTGGGGATTGAACCACCTTCACACTCTCTCTCACCGGTCAGTTCCCGCTACCGGTCGCACCTGAGCGGGGGACAAGTCCGGCGTCCCCGGAGTGCTGGGACCGGCCATCGAGGCGCTGCGGCTGGGACGGTGCGACTGGCGCCTGGGCGCGGCTCGACCCTTAGTGCTTCCTGTCGAGGTGGATGGTGCCCTGTCTGGAGACCTGCAAGTGTGGAGATATCCAGCCAGGTGACCCTGAACGGAAGCAGCTGGTAGATTTCCAAGAGGTCCCAAGATATGGGTTCATGCAGTCAGCCGAAAGAAGGAGCCTCCGGGTTTGAATCACTTGCCGTACTTCCTTGGTCCTACCTGTTAATCTCGCCAGCCTTTCCGACAGCCTGTAGGGTCCTTGGAACTTCCCTGGAAGAATTGAATCATTCGCGGCATCGCCACCCGATCGCCGCCGCGAACCCCGCTCACACCAGCAGATACCAGCAGGGATAGGACCTATAGGATCCTTGAGTCCTTCGGTGCGTTCCTCAACCCCCCCCCGCCCCGTAGCTGCGAGAGGGAGCCGTGACGTGATGAAGATCGAATCTGATTATTGGCCGTGAGGTTCCCAACCGTCCCAACCAAACCCATTAGATTGTTGACATCATCACCCTACATCTGTTCATTTGTCAGGGGTCAAAACCCGCGAAATAGATGCAAGTCATGTAGTGGTGGATGAGATCTCAAAGCCTGCAAAGGGTTTTACCATCCATGGACATGGGGCAGGTGATTCATGAACAGTCTACACCTAGAGCACAATTGACCTCTCACTAAATGCTTTGTATCCACTGCGCACAGGAGCCCGAACATCCCAAGACCAATAAAATTACAACTTGCCATCTTCGGTCGTACTATTTCTCGAGTCCTTTTCTCTCAAAGGGCCCTCCAAAAGCCAATTGGCCCATCCAAAACAAGACGTAATTGGGTATAGTTAGGACCCTGATTTTGGCAATTTGTTTGACCTCCAAACCAACATCCGAACTCCAAACCCTCATATATACATGTTGGGGTGATCATGGTGATACACTGTCTCCAAAAAGAATCATGGTCAAGCGGCTGGGCCCCCAAGTTCGGATGACCATGAAATCCTCACTCCCAAACAGCTGGTGCCATGCATCAGTGCCACCCACGTTATCATGATGTCATGCGATCCTTTCCAAGCGGAACAAACCCAACAGCTGGAGGACCCACCCTGCCAAAACCTCCAAACCCTTCACCCCCCCCCTCCCAAGGCCTCGAGGGCGTGGTGCCCCCCTGAGGTGTCGTACCAACACCCATCTGAAGGGTGTTGGCGCCGCCTGTCGCAGACGAGGCCCAGGCGTTCGAGCGAACGCGCTTCCGCGAACCGCCCGCCACCGCGAACCGCCGGATCCGCCTCCGAGACCTGAGAGCGAGCCGCGGCCCTTCAGTTTTCCTTTCCTCGGCGGAGTGCGCGTTCGGAAAAACAGCAGCACGCAACGGGACGCTGCATCTTCCTGGTGAACTTGTTGTTCTATGTTCCTGCTTCTTAAAGGTATACCTTTTGTCTTTTGATATCCTGCTTGGAGGTCACAAACAGGCCACAAGGAAGGTCATTTGGACTCCGGTCACCGAAAGATGAAAAGCTGGTCAAGAATATTCAAGAATCATATCGTGTTGCGGTGGGCATTTCACCTTTGGAGCTTTGCAGATAGGAGAGTGGCGGGGAAAGGACAAACGTGTCCTCCCCAAACAGTGACGTGTCCCAAACCGGCAGAACTACCAGTTCAAAACGGCAAACTCATAGCCACCAACACCTCACCCCTATCCACAACCCACAAAAGCCTGACCTCTTCGGATCTCGCGTTGCACGGAGTGCTAAAAATCACCAACACCAACACCACCAACAAGAGCAACAACAAGTCCTCTCAAATTTGCCGCCGCTTGCCTGAGTCACCGCCGGAGAAATGGGTCACCCATGGTCACCCTGTTTTTGTTCAGACCGGAGTTCCACGGGTGAGCCGGCTTGACGGGTGAAAGCAGGCTTCGGATTGAAATGAACAAGAAGTCCATCCAGCATCCGACTTTGGGTTGGACCTGGAAACCGAAGCAGGCGAAGCTTGTTGATGTGGTTGGATGAATGATTCGACCACCTTTCAACGGAGGGAAAGGTTGGTTTTTTCCGGAGGGGCTCGGTCCAAGACCGTGGACCGTTGCCGCCAGGCAACAGCTCTTTTCCTTTGCTTACGCCTCGGCGTCGATGGGACTGGCCACAAATCTGGCAGAAAAAGAACACGGATCTTCGGGAGTTCTCATCACCCAGTGTCAGTGGTGAAAAACACACGGAAACACCGAAACCACGGAAGGCTCCAACAACTCGGCGGAAAACCCCATCAAACACCTCTCCTTCTGTCACCAGAGCGCCCTTCCGCGCCTGGTGTGGGCGCCACCACGGGGAACTGTCCAAAGCTCCAACTCTGCGAGACCGGCGCGGAGGAGGTCCCGGGCGCCGACGCGGAGGAGGACGTCGCAACGCCTGACGTCGTGGACGTCGGCACCACGGTGGCCGGTGCGTGTGATCGTTTTTATGTACCTTGAGTCTCCAATGACCCTTTTTAATGAGTCTTTGGAGACTCAAGGTATGTTTTTGAGGTGTGTGTGTGTGTGTGTCATGGATGGTATCATTGGGAAAAAGGAGTGGTCTCGCTCGATGACACGCCAACGGCTTGGGCAACATCTCAAAAGAACGACACATCTCAATGACATTCGGGCACCCACGCGTCAGGCTCCGCTCGCCTGGCTCAGCTTCCTTGGGTTTGGCTGCCTGGCGCACCAAACTTTCTATCTACACCGATTCGCAACAGCTTTGCCAAAGGAGATCCAAAAAACACTTCATGAGCGGAATATTGACCGAACATATTCGCATTGGGGCAGTTAAGATTCCAATCCCATGGAGTGTCTGGGAATGGAAACCCGAGGTCCTCTATGGGGAACCCAAGGGGACTGTCTCCAGTATAGGCCGGTTCATCGCTTCGATGTTTCTTGTGGTCAAATGCCTCCTGTTTTGTTCTACCACTCTTGGATATTCGATCTGAATATGATGGAGGTTAAAACCCAATCACTCCATGGGACTGCCATATATGCCGCCCCATTGACCCCCCAAACCACCCCAATGTAGGCATATATATGGCATACATGGAGTGCCCAGGTAATGAAAATGGATATTATACACATTAGGGGCCTGAGCGATGAGAGAGAAGGTGTCGAAACACGAACTTAACCACACAGCACTTCCCGCGCTTTTGCCGGGTGCTTATGCACCCCAAGAAAGGCCCGCACCGTTGTACTGCAAACCAACCAGCCATTCTGACGGCATGGTGGTGAAAATGGCAAGGTCCCAATCAACAACGATACCACTCGATAACGATCGACCTGTCAGGGACTGGCATCACGATGTACGTGTTGTTTAAATGATGTTTGCGCTTAAGGCAGCGATGATTGCCTTGCAAAACCCAAGGCCAATGGAACCTCATCGACATCTGCTAGGTCCGGTTCATGAGCTGGAAGTCTGGGGACAAAACACACATGGCAGGGTTATGTTCAAGAAAACTACCACCAGCCCGCAGCAACCGTGAAACGCCTTAACCCAAACCTCCCAACAAATGGCTTTTGAACGTAACATATCCAATGCTTGCCAGGGTCCATCAACGATTCCGAAGGAAATGTCAATAGATAATTCATGTTATAATCCCAGCCCCCTAGTGTTTCTCTGCAAATTTCAAAAAATAATACTCCTTGAAGATTGGCACATCTTGAACTGCCGTCGCTCCCTCCTGAGCAAGAGCTAGTGGGTGGGTCCCCAACCTCAACCACTTCCCAGTGCCTCTGCTGGCTTCTCCCTCTCTGGTGCGTTCACGCCGGCCAATGTCACCTTCCCCGGCGCTCGCAGCTCACATGGTCAAACGGACGGTCTTAGCCGCTCCTTCAGCTGGCTTCTCACTGACCAAATGCGTTTTCCTGCAGACCTGCAGAGATTCTAGGATCATTGGAGACCACCCTGCGGTTCAATGTTGCGACCACAGCATCGGCCATGGGAATCACCCAGCGGCAATCACCACATGCAGGCATGCAGGAGAAAATAACACAACATTCACAATCATGTTCAACTATAATATACCAGGACCCTCCAAGGGGTGCCCAATGGAAGCCTATAGGTAGTGTGGGGAAGTCCAGCCAGGACACCCCGACAGGAGGGTCCTGGTATAGGTCTTTCGTTATTCTACCATATTCTACTATAATGATGGTTCCGCTTATGCCTTTGTCGCCTTCACCGCTCCAAGTGGTCCAACTGCTTCGTGGCAATGGAAAAAATCAACATCAACAACAGAAGCCGAAAAGCGCAACCCTTGTATACCCTTGTAACCTTAAAGGGGCTTTGAATAGACACCCCTTAATTAGGGGGCTCTGGCGAAGCTATGGAACATGGTAATGCTTGTGCTATTAAACACTTTCTGCATCCTGATGCTCTCCACGGCGCCTCGATGGTATTGGCGGACATGGTGGCCAGCGACACGGCCTCCCCCGTGATACGCCTCTTCAGGCGGGCGGCCGAACCGCGACCGAGTCGGGAGATGCCTGGTCGGTCCACAGTCATCCAGATGCATCAAGGCCCTGCTGAAGCGTTTTCGGGTTACGTGCTGGAACATGCGACGATGGGCCAAGCAAGCACCTAGAGTAGGGCTCCATCCCATCCCCGTTTGAGCTCCAAGTACCTTCTAGGAAGGTGGGGACTGGGGTGGGTGCCAGAAGGGTCCAGTCGTACCTTCTGAGAAGGTACGACTGGAGCCCTAGGGATCATGTAGACGGTTGATAGAAACGCGGTTGACTGTGACTGTGAATGGGGAAAGAACCTGAACATACGATGACATGTGGAGGATGAAAAGGTCAGTTTCATTCATCCTCAGGGATCCCAGGTTCGGTGCGACTGGACCCGACCCCGGCACCTACATAACAGTGTCGAACACATCATCGTACCTCAGACTCAAAGGGTATGTGGATCCCTAGGTCATGTAGACGGTTGATATTTCAACCCTCCCTCCGTATGGAGAGGTATTGCAATCAAACAGTCCGACTATGGTGCCACCCATGTGTCACACTTCTCGGAGGTCTGCTTTTTAAGGCCACTGCCGCCAATGCTGTTTTTCCCGCCGCTCTCTTCAACGAAGGGTGCAGCTGGCCCCATTCTTTGTTGTCACAGTCCTTGAAGGTTATAGTCTAGTCATAGTTCTCAAACGTTTTCAAGCCTACACACACACACACGTCACACCTCTGCTACCAGAGTGACTTGCTACCACTGTTGATGGCACCAATCCTGCCAACTCCTATCCCTCTCCTGACATCTACTCCTCAGCATTGCTACTCATCCTGCCTTTCCTCGGAAACTTCTCCGGCATTTCTCAGCTTCTTCCTGTCCCGCCCAAACCGCCCCACCCCAAATCAGCGCCGAACCGGGTGACCTGGACATGGCGGCCGGATTGGCGAAGATCGAGTCCCGCTGTGCCACACTGGGCTTCCTGGCAAACATGGGAAGAACTAGCGATGGCCTCCAACCTACTGGTGATGGTCTTCAACTAATAGTGATGGCCTCCAACGTTATTTAATAGTGATGGCCTCCAACCTACTAGCGATGGCCTAGCGAGATATAGGAAGGTGAGACCTTTCAGTGCAGGGGTGGAAAATGTGGAAAGGTCAGAATTTGAGGCGCGCGATGGGGTGGAAGGAGCCTTTTTTCAGATGTGGAAAGCGTCCTACGTCCTGCCTTTTGCCTTGCCTTCTGATGGGGGTGCGAAGGGTCAAAAACAAATTTTAAGCATGGATCACACATGCATTGACGCGGCGTAGAGAGGGTCATTGCAAAGACCTGCTGTGAAGGTCCATGAAGGTCCTTGTTTTCATCACTTGGATATAGTTCTATTCAAAGAGAGTCTCAACTGGATGGAGGTCCACTCTCCGAAACCCCTGCGATCACTGTGATCACAGGATGTTGGTGATCCCGTCTTCCGTCTCTCAGCGTGTCTTTTCTGCACTCCCGCCCTTGTTTCAGTCAGTCCTTCGGAGGGCTCCGCTTTCCAAGGACTTCTGAGAAACCATGCCATTTCAGGTGATGATCGGTGATGCAACATCGCATTGCAATGCTTTGCGCTTGGGAAGGTGGACATCCCGGAATCCCAGGCATTGGTCCAGAAAACACCCATGGGGCTCCACCAGAATCCCCGCAGGTTTGGACGATCCCACTGGCGTCCTTGGCGCGCGCGCGCGCGGGAACCGCGTCCTCTTGGCCGTGCCTTTCGCACGCCTGCCACCCATCAAGCCTCAAGCAGCTCGGCGACACAGCTCGAACCCCGTCGCGGGAGCGTGGTCCGAGGATGGCAACAGATCGCGGACACCGTCGCCTACCATCCCGGATCACCTGGAAACAACATGAGGAAGGAGCTCCCATGTGGTAATCATATCTCATGATCAAAAACCATGAGAAACCAAGAGTTCAAGACTCTCCCCATGTGTGGTAATATCTCATGTTCAGGAATGCCCTGGAAGAGGTGCCAAAACTGCCGTGTTGCCGACATGCTTCAGAGTCCATATCACTTCAGGCCCCCCCCACCTTGGATTCGCCCTCCAAGTCGGGTCATCAGTTTCGAGGAGTCCAAACACTTTTTCGGGGAACTTCCAACAGTCACCACAAACCGCAAAATACCAAGCTCTGGGTGGCTGGATGTTGATGGTTTCTTCACTGAACATGAAGGAAAACTCTGCCACGCCGTGGCCGCCCCCGATCGTCCAAAAACACCCCCGGTCCTGTTGCAATGCTGCTGGTCCTTCTGGTCTTCGGATCCTCTCCATCCTGGAAAGATCAGCTCAGGCAGTCGGACTGGTAGAGGAAACTATAAGAATCAACAGCCACAAAGATCACATGGGTATGCAATAGGGAGACATATATACCAGGACCCTCCAAAGGGGTGCGGAACGCCAGGGTTCGGTCTCCCTCTTTGACTACGAGCCCACATGAAGGTCCAAACTGCGCCCGGCGTGTCCATCCGAAACCATCAACCAGCCCCACGCATTCTGGGTGTCCAGAGTCCAGAGCCCCTACTCGAGGTCAAGGGGTGGGGTGGTGAAATCGACACCCCGAACTGGGGGTCTAGGAAGGCATTGGGATTCATCTCCAAACTTTCTGAACTTCATGTCCAAACCACTCAGAAAGCTCGTGTCCGAGCCCTCGTTGAAACAAATCACCATCGGTTTTACCATCACCATTCCCCTCGGTGCTGGGGCTTCCGGAGGATTCCCCTCCATGAAACCACCAAAAAAGAGGTTCCAAGGGATTCTGACCTTAATGGTTCTATATAGATGGTTACATGTAATTGTACCTCTGGTCGGTTCCATTCACTCTCACCATTCGAATCCCAACCTTGTACCCGGATTCCCGACGTTCTGAAGCACGCTTTCTTCCCGCCAGCCCCCCAGTTCGCCCCGCCAGCATTTGCAAGTTCGCCGTGGTCAAGGTCTTGGTGGGGACCTCTTCCACTTCGCCGCCTGGCGCCGTGCCGGTCGCGGTCGCTGCGCCGGTTACGTGGTCGGGACGCGCCCGACCGTGGGTTCGGAGCAAAGGCCTGGTGCCGAAGAAACGGTTCGACTCGTGCCGTTTGCAGCGGGAACCTGATGAATGTCCGATGCGTGCCTGAGCTACACCTCGAAATGCGATGTCAAAAATAACCTGTTTATTACTGTTTGCTTCCAAGACTATTAGTTGGTGGGCCGAGTCAACTGATCTGTACCTGAGAATTGCTCCTAAACTAGCATGAATCATTATTCTATTAGGAGCTCCATGACCCATTGATAAGGAGCAGTTACTGGAGCAATTCTATAAAATGTTGTCCTTTTTATTCATGTGTGCCTTGGGCAAATGAAAGAAATGACATCGTGAACGTCGTGAATCCCCAAAATACAACTGCCATCAAGAATTTCATTACATTTGTAATATTATTTATAACTATTGTTTTATGTAGGTGGGTGAAAGCAACCAACACCTACCATCAAACATGTTTAACACTATAAGATATATCTCGAACAGGAGGTGTGTGTAGGAGACAATGGATGAGACACAATAAGCATGTTGGTAACCCTAATGGAGATCTGAAAATGAGACTTAGATGGTTGGATCGTCGCTCTGTGAAGCTGTGCAAGGTTAAATCACACATGAGTCTCCAAGATAAAATTGACTTGGGTCGTCCGGCTTGGTCCTGGCATGCTAATGCTGCTGCTGATTCCCTTGCTGGAGAAGCAACAGTGGCCTTAGCCCCGTATGGAAAGGATAAGGCTAACGTTTTCATTTTAGGACGAGCTTGGCGCTTAAACAAGTGGTTGTTGCCTCGTGTGCAATTTTGGTTGAGTCAGCAGAGTACCTGTAAACTTCCGAAGAAAAGTGGGTCTAGATGCACCAAGGATGCTTTCCTCTTGTCTCTAAGAAATAATCCTGCTGGAGGCCATGAGTGGGAATCCTCAGTCAAGGGTTTGTGCTGTTTGCGTTGTGGTACTAAGTTGCCCAAATACAAAAGTTTGAGTGATCTGGAGGTTCTGGTGCAACTCCCATGTGATGTGATGAGTGGTGTCCGCGGGGTGCATTATACTATACTATACTCATGCATACCATGTATGGTGGCACGCGGAAGACCTGCAATGTCATGTAAGGGAGTTTGTTATGCAGGGCGACAGATTAGCAAGAAATTGCGGCAACCATGTGGAACTTCCGGACGGGTCTTGTACAGACGGAGATAGTTTGGGCTGGTAGTTTGTTTGGAAAAATAGCTTAATATAATGCAGTAGTTAGTGAGTGAATAATACAAAATGCTGATTCGTATGCTTTGTTACTTTTGAACGAAGCTCATATCAAACTAACTAAAGTCTTTTTTGCTTCCGGATAGTTGGCAACAAACAACCGGCCCTTCAGCACACTTTGGAACTTTCCACCACCGTCGAGACTTAAAGCAATAGTCTGACTTAGTCAGTTTCAGCAAGATCTTTCCGCGTTAATTACTTGATTTGCACTATTCGAAGCCAATCTACAGCTTGAACCCTAAACTGGTTCGCGTTTTGGGGCCCCAAATCTGATCTTTCTGATTTGCAAGACCTTAAAGGCGCCTGTTTTGCTGCGTGTGTGGAAGGTGGTCGCGGAGATTTGCAGCTCTTCATCCTGCGAGCCCGACGTCGGACGACGTCGGACGACGCTTGATGACCCAACCGGTCGCCCGGTCCCTGGTCCTGAAAACCTCCAAACGAGTAGTGTTTGTGTGTGAAGAACTCCAGTAAATGAGGGTTCATGAATGTTCATGAGATCTTTTGACCTGCTGGGTGACTTTTTCAACCTCCCAGACCTGAAGAGGTTTTACAATTGAGTGGGGGTACTATCAAGAGCAGTCTAAATGGGCACAGTGGAGGATGAAGGTCAGGTTGCAGCCCTTTCCAATATAAGATGTCACGCATCTCTTCATAATAAATATATATATGATATAAAGTATATGATATATTGTTCATACTCTTTCACCACTGGTTTCCTGGGCCACCCTAGTCCTCTCTTTCTTTTTATCTCTCGCTCTTTTTGGGCGACGATCGTCATCGCCATCGCCGCCGCGGCGAGCTCAGCGGGTCGTTCAAGTCTTGGGATCCCAAGAAGCACAAAACTGGTCGTGGACGCTGCCGGCCCACGGCACCACCTCTCTCTGAATGTCTTGAAAGCTGTACAATTGAGAGTCGGGGAGTCTTGCATTGCTGTACAAATGTTTAATTTAGATTTCAGATGTACCTGCAAGACTGTTCATTGAGGCTTTCGGCTTTCGGAATGGTCTTTCCCATTCCTTACACCTCCGCAACTCCAGCCAAGGACCTCAGTTGGGCTTCCAAACACGTCAAGCAAAGCCCATATAGCGCCCGGCGCTCGACATTATTTCATCCAAGCTGCTTGGCATCACAGTTGGTCTCTGTATCGCCCTGGCAGCGACTGACCGGGCATCAGAAAGTGAACCAAAAGATTGCATTCTTCTTTACAAACAGCAACTTGTCCACTTCCATGTAAAACAAAGTGCATCCAATTGGGTTCGCACTGCACCTTTTGCAGGAGATGGCTCGGCAAATGGCCAGATCGTCGCCAGAGAACACCTTATATTGATCTCTATAGACTATATACGATGCTGGATCCGCATATCACTCACTAAGCTGGCTTTTTCCATCAGCTGGCTGCGACAAACCCAATACGCTGCGCCAAGTGGCTGATCGCCATCACGAGGGTCGTCATGAGGCTCATTAGCGCCCAATACAACCCCACGCCCGGTGCCCAGTGGGTGGCATCCAGGATGGCGGCGTCGATGAGCGGTGCGGTGCCTCCCAACACGGCGAAGGCCAAGTTGCAGGACATGCCAAAGCCCAGCGCACGCAGCTGCACGGGAAAGAGGTCCGCACAGAAGATATAGGCGTGAGATCCAGCAAAGCCCACCAGCAAACCAAAGGCCGCCAACCAAACGATTGGTAGTGCGTCGAAGCCTGGGATTTGCGGGAACCTTATGAAATATTTCCCAGGTTTGGGGATTTGCTGTTCGGGAAAAGAACCACATCACCTTTCCCTTAAGCAACACCAGGACACTCACGCTGCTGCTGATCAGCAGGAACAACGGGAAGCTGCAAACGGACAAGATTGCCCCTCCGGCCAGCATGATGATCAAGGGATCAAAACTACAAAAGAGATCGTTCAGCACAGGCCATACCACCCAGCTGATCATGACGGTGCCTTGGAATGTACGGGCATGAACACCAGTGCATGATAGCACATGTGAGCTGTGAGATTTGCAGGACAAGGCTCCCGGGCCAGGTGAAAACTGGCTGCTATAGATGCTGCGAGTGCTTTCACTCCATCAGTTGCGGACCAAGGCACCGGTGAAGGCACAGGAAGCCAAAAGAGCCAGCGTTTGATCCATGCCCTGCGATTTCAAATACGATGGACACCTGGGACCAGCATCTGGCGAAATCCGTTGGTCCACTCGGTTCAGAAGTCCACTTTTCTGGCCATTCGGATTGCCCTTTTCGGATGAGCATCGGGAATCGAGATGGCCCGACCTTCCAAAGTTTCAACAAAAAACAAAGCCAAATCGGAGACCTCCCAGGCCTTCAGACCCCTTGGAAGGTTCGGAGACCTGGTTTGCGAAAGCGTGTCTCCCGATCTTGCACCTCGGTATCTATCGCGGGGTCATCCAGGGCCCAGTGGATGATGATGGTTAGGCTGGTTGCAGGCCAGCTCAAGAAGTGGACGTCCTGGCCCCTTGGGAAGACTACTTTCTTGTACCAAGAGGAGGTGAGCTCCGCTCGTAAAGGCCCGCCACCGCCCACGACAGCCATGACACCACAGGGCCGAATAGTAGCAAACGGCCAGCGCACCCGTCGCACTGAAGCCCACCACGACAGCCTTGGTTCGAAGTGCCCCATGCCAACCCGGTTTGAGTGCCCCATGCCACCAGACATGGACCTGGTGGACCCGCTAGGACTGGACCTAATGAACCACTTGGCATGGACCCTCGGGTTGAACATGGGTGGCTCGGTTGAAATGCAGTTCAAACGACTTCACCAAAAGTACGTCACGACTTGTTCTCCATTGGTCTTTCTTTCGATACGATCATCGAAACGCCAAAACAAAGACGTGGGCCAGGGCACAAGAGCATGGTCCCGCAACTTCCTGGGCGTGCCGAGTCATTGTCAGTTTCAAGCAGAACTTGTTTGCCGTTCGCCCATTCGAAGCAACTGAGTCGAACACATGCGCGGAGGCTTGCTCTCCTCATGTGAAGAGTGGAACGTGTGATGAATTATACCAGCGTAGACCCCAAATAGAGCAATGTTCAAAAATGAGATCTCCGAACAATATGGCCAGCAGTATTTCCTAGAGGAAGAAAACTATAGTCCATCATGTAGACGCACATACAAGATTCAAAGGGAAAGCATTAAAATTCTGTTTTTCATTGACTTTACAATGGGACGCCGTACAAGGGCTAAAACATGAAATTTATGGATCCAGGTTGTGACATATGTTGCCCCCCTTGTAAACACGAATGCGCAGACCCAATCAAAATGAAGATTTCCTCAGAGCACGGACACTGCGCTTGGCTTTTTCCTTCCTACGCAGTTGCCTTCTTTGGCTTAGCCATGTACTGCATTGACCTGTGTTTGCCATAGGTCGCAACACTTGACGTAAGAGTGTGTGATTGCTTCGTTGATCATCCGCACGAAAGTAGCTGCCAACCTAAACAGCAAATCGAGCAATGAAACGCTTGTGGTGAAAATATGTGAAAATAGTGTATTTCGATGCAGCCAATGCAGCTTTCAAACTCGAAACACGACCTTGTGCGCATCAAAAAATTGACCGGCCCAGCATCCAGCCAAGCCCGGGGATACAAAGCATCCAGACAGGCCATGGGAAACAAGTGGAAGACAAGTGAGCTTACTGGGAGCCAAGTCGAGACATGTGGGAGACAAGTGTGAAATCATGCGGCCAGAGCACTCAGAGCATCCAGAGCTTACTGGGAAACAAGTGGGAGACAAGTGTGAAATCATGCGGCCAGAGCACTCAGGACAAATGGCAGACAAGTGTGAAATCATGCGGCCAGAGCACTATAGAGCATCCAGAGCTTACTGGGAGACAAGTGGGAGACAAGTCTGAAATCATGCGGCCAGAGCACTCAGAGCATCCAGAGCTTACTGGGAGACAAATGGGAGGCAAATGGAAGACAAGTATGAAATCATGCGGCCAGAGCACTGAGAGCATCCAGAGCTTACTGGGAGACAAGTGGGAGACAAATGGGAGACAAGCGTGAAATCATGCGGCCAGAGCACTGAGAGCATCCAGGGCTTACTGGGAGACAACTGGGAGACAAGTGGGAGACAAATGGGAGACAAGTATAAAATCATGCAGCCAGAGCACTGAGAGCATCCAGAGCTTACTGGGAGACAAGTGGGAGACAAATGGGAGACAAGTATAAAATCATGCGGCCAGCGCACTCAGAGCATCCAGAGCTTACTGGGAGACAAGTGGGAGACAAATGGGACACAAGTATAAAATCATGCGGCCAGAGCACTCAGAGCACCCAGAGCTTACTGGGAGACAAATGGGAGACAAGTGTGAAATCATGCGGCCAAGCACTCAGAGCATCCAGAGCTTACTGGGAGACAAATGGGAGACAAGCCTGAAATCATGCGGCCAGAGCACTGAGAGCATCCAGAGCTTACTGGGAGACAAGTGGGAGACAAGGGTGAAATCATGCGGCCAGAGCACTGAGAGCATCCAGAGCTTACTGGGAGACAACTGGGAGACAAGTGCAAGACAAGTGGGAGACAAGTGGGAGACAAGGGTGAAATCATGCGGCCAGGAACACAAGCCCGGAGACAAACTCAAAATCATCCGGCCCGAGCATGCAACCCCTTAAAAGGAGTAAGAACCCCTCACAGGTAAACCTGTTTGGGGAAAAAGGATCTTGGGAAGGGAAGGCAAGCGTACCAAAGACCACTAGCAACATCATAGCCTCAATAAGACTTGTTTGATCTTCCTTGGCCACCTTGGAAATACCAACTACGCTGGTATATAATTTATAGAATATTATATAGCTAGAAGTAATTAATAGCGACATGTCACAAACATTTCATGCGCAGGCGCGCGTTTCAGAAGCCAAGCAATGTTGCAAAAGGGAAGCTCTCCTCTATCTCCAAGTGCTCCGTCACAAAATGGACAAAGTTACTTGATTCTGCGAGCTTGTTGCGGCCCCAAAGTGCAATGCTTCCTGGCACGATGGACACCAGGAATGGAATGCGCCAGCCCCAGCTTGCCATGTCCTGCAGCCAAAAGAGCTACACTCTCCTAATTGCTGCTGATGGATATTGCGCCCTCTCCTACTCAAGGGTTCCCAACATGTTCCAACCTTCCACAGGTAGTTTTCACCAGCGCTCCAGCGAAAAACTGAAAAAAAAACAGAAAACGCTCATGAAGCCGCTTGAACACCTGATGAAGCAAAAAACAGCATGAAGCCAACCGAAGCCATCGGTGTAGGCCAAAACACCTGGACATACCTGGACGCACTGAACTGATCACCCGACCGGGCCTGAGGAGTTAAGGAGCGAACCACCACGGTCACCAGGAGGTTGGCCAGCAAGAAACCCAGCCCTGCAGAGGCCAATAAGAGCCCGCAAGCTGCTCTGGCCCTCGGTGTCTTTGCTTGAAGAGTTCAAGTCTTGATGTAAGAGTTCAAGGAAGACTTGAATCTTTGGCAACATGATGTAGAAGTCCAATTAACATTGATGTTGACTGCTGCTGCGTTTGTTTTTTCTGATCGGTTCCAGTATGTCTCGTTCATGCGACGAGCTGCCGGTTGGGCGGCGCACTCTCTCCAATGTATGCGACGATTGGCCCAAGTTCACCACCTGGTGCTAAGGCGTTCAGGCTGACAGTTGGAAGCGACACTAAAGGAATGCCAGCACTTGAACATTGCTGTATGTACCTACCAGTGAGCATCCCATATGGTCCATATGCGTGCGTTGCTGTATATTATATCGTATTATGCCCAAAGACTCCATGTATGGAATACATTGACTGTCTCAAACCACCCTCATGCAACATGTCGGTCATTGTATGCCATACATGGAGCTTTTGGGATATGAGCAATGCAATGATCCAATGCGTGCATGCCAGTGAGCACAACCAGCTCTCAATGCTGCGCTCACTGCGCAAACCTTTGGAGAGGTCGCACGCGCAGTGCCGCACGGCACGCGCGGCACGGCCTGCACTGAGCCCCTGTAAGGCACGCAGCAACAGGAGGAACACCAAGCCCAAAGTGCCCCAGCCATCGCCTCGATCAACCCCATCAGGGCCGTGGCTGTCTTAGGCCGTCAGGGCCGTGGGTGTACCAGGACCATCCAATCTGGGTGTCCTGGCTGGACTACCCTACACTACTATCCGGGATCTCCAGACAGGACACCCAGACAGGATGGTCCGGTATGAGTTCCGTTGTTCTGCAATAAGAGTGGAGTTCTCATAGATGGGCGCGGTGGGAGGAGAAACTGATGCAAGTTCGAGTCACCGCAGCAAAGGTAGGTTGGCAGCCTCAAGTGGCACATGGAAGAAAGCACACTGAGAAACACGACAACATCCCTGCAACAGCGTTGAGAGGTGTCTACACGACTTGTGGCATGTTGTGCAATTGGCTCCCCCAACAAAACAACATCTGAGCTTCGGCACACTCCCTGGCCGAAGGTGGCCAAAAGCATTCCAAGAATGGAGATCAACACAGCCGTCCGCCTCACACAGGCTGCCTGCTGTGTTCAACATGCTTCGACACCGCGGACTAAACAAAAAGAAACTTTATAGAACTGTTTATGCACTCTCACGAACACATCACATGGAAGTGGAAGATGGTTTCTTCCTGAAGAGGATGTTGCTTTTCAAGTGTTTGAGTTCTCCACAGTATGTTCAAGTTCTCGACCATTTTCGGCCGCGGTCGAAAATAGTGCGCACTCGCCTGCCATACTTGTCAGCGAGCCAGCCTGGGGAAAACTGCACTGGGAAAGTGACTGGCCTCTCAGGGTGCGGCCAAGCTGCCATTGAGGAAACCGCCGAAAGGTCTCAGCAAGAAGGTGACGGTGTACCCAGCCCACGTGGAGATCGAGGAGGAGTGGAAGAACACCTTCTCGATGTCCGGCGCGAGGAAGCCTCGGAGAAGAATGTCCTGTCGAAGTGGCGTCACTCCATCGAAAGGACGGTGACTAATCACTTCTCTAAAATGCCCGATAGATAGATAGAAAGATAGATAGATAGATAGTTGCTATAATGAAAGTTTGACAAACATAAAATAATTCCCATGGTCAAATTCAGTGTTGGCAACCTGATCACATGCACATCTTGCATGTGAAAACCCAGCCCTATGGTCACCCAGGGCTTCTCAACTTCTATGCAAGCGGCTGTAGATCCCGAAATCATACCACTCCTCAGTGGCAGCCGGGAGTGCAACGGACCAGTGGGCCCCCGTATCGGTGGGCCGGGCAGAAACAGCACTCACGATACTCACGGACGTTGTGACACTTGCGACCAAGACACCAGGACGTTGCCCAGCAGCAAGGGCCAATACTGCCAAATGAATTGACAAAGGTTGGTGCTTTGCGCTCCTGAACTGGCTCGCGCACTTCCCATGGCTCCAGCGCTTGCTCCAGCGCTTCTCTACACTTTCGTTTGTAGGAGGTTTTGATGAGAGCCACTTGGTAGACATATTGGACCTCCACCATGGTCCGAGACTGAACTCTGCATGCGATCTCCGAGACGTGTGCAGGTTCTCGAAACCACTTGTGTTCCCACCCTTTGAGCCTTGGCGTCGCCGGATCCATTGGGTCAGCTCGGACGGTTTCCGTGGCGCTAGCTGGGGCCACTGGGCTGCTTTTCGTGAGTTGACAGGGTGGCAGACGTCTGCCAGGTTTGACAGGGTGCTGAGACAAATCCGAACACCACTGAATTATACCGTACAGGTTCACAGTGGTTTACGCGTGGCTATGCTCCAAACATAATGGACATCGACAACCTTTCTGTTGCAACTGCTAGTCGAGGAACATGGTCCTCCCGTCCACAACTCCTATCCAGGAGCCCAGCGTTGGAAGGGAACAGCCATGCAGTTGGATGGGTTCGAGCTCTACACGAGCTGTATGGGCCAAACTTCAATTGCAAAGCCTTGGATCCACATACCCTCCTATCGAGGCTCACGTGCACGACACTGTTAGCCTTGGAGGGTCCACACACCTTCTAAAGTGGTACTTGGATCTGGGACAAATTGGGACAAATCAAGGCGCAAACTTGGCGACTTCTTGACGTTCACAGGGGCCCTCCCTGGAGTGCTTCCCAAAGAAGTGACGCATGCTGCTCCTTTTTCGCCCTTTTAGTATATAATTATCCAGCAATATGTGCATGTGTCTTCTTCATTCTTCTTCTATGTATAAAGCCCTGTTCACACTCCATGCTATCTCCAGCTTCTTGCTTCGGTAGGACCTCCCTTGCAACCCTTGCACCGCCCAACGCCGCAGTCCTGGCTCAGCGCGCGCGGGGACCGCGGCTCGGCGGAGAGGCGCCGCCTCTCATCGCCGCGGTTCCGGGCCGACGCCCGGCGGCCAGTTCCGCCGGGGCTCAACGGCGTCCCGGGAGAGTCAGGCGAGCCGGGCTGGGACGAAGAGGTCCGCGCGCCGGGCTGCTCTTGACGCTCCGAGAGATAGGACCTCGGAGGTGGAGGCTTTGGAGAACATGTTTGTCATTGTTTGTCTATAACTTCTCTGACAGGCCTCATGACCCATGACCTTTACTACCTTTACCTTTGCGGTGGTGTTTTGGGAGGTGGCGTATGTCCATCCCTCGATCCGGGTCGATCCGAATGGGGTTCCGAACTGCGAGGCGCCTCGCTCACCCGGCCCCCCAAAGCCCCAAGCCTCGTTGGGGACCTTCCAAGACGGGAGATCCTGTCTGCCTGGCCTGTCTGCCTCCGCATTTTCTTGCGTTGCTCTTCCGCCACCCCCCGGCTCCCCTCGGAAGGGCCCCCCAAACCCTCGTGCCGCAAGGAGGGCGGCCGCAACATCCTATGGGCGACCCATGGGCGTTCGCCCAAGCGACCGCAACATCTTGGCCAAACGCATCCGCTCAAGGGCATCATCCTCCTGGCGAAAAAAGGCGTTCATGCACACGCATGACCCTTGGTTTTGGGTGCTAAAATGATGGCGACCGCGAGACCTTTCCTCTCCTTCCTTCCATCTCCTTCCTCACTAGGTGACTCACTAACACATGTAACATGGAAGTGGAAACACCACGTGTTTGTAGAGGAAATGATGAAACATGGTCTTCCCAGTGGCCATTCTAAGTGCGCTTAGGAGCCGTGCAGCGTCTGATCATCTCCGACCCGTCCCTGCTCGTCGGTCCTGGGGCTGCTCGAGCGAGCCACTGGTGCGGCGAGCGAAGGAGGCCATCTTCTGCAAGGCCGACATGCTGCCCTGGCGACCAGGGCGTTCACAGCGGACTGGGCTGGCGTCCAAGTCCAGAAATCAATGGAAACGATCATCTCATGGGGCTTCTCTGTGGTTTGTGCTTTCAAGTGACTTGAAAATATGTGGGTTCAATCATCCCAAGTCAAGGTTAACAAGATAAACCTCCAAAACCACCTATTTTGGTTAATAGCTTGATGCTTCATGACCATCCCTAGCCAAATGGAACTCTCCATTCTTGTCGTGCCGGGCCTTGTCCTCGATGGACCGGGCGGCTTGGAGAGCCTCATAGGTCTTCGTCCGGTCTCTTTCCTCTTCCGCCTGCGGACGAGGAACCACTCAAAGCACATATGGTGAACCCAGTGCCAGCCTTTCATCTTCTTCGTGGGTCCTAAGAGCTCATGGTGTTTTTCTTTGTTCATCAATATCTAATTGCATTCATCGGTTTGGCAACTAGCCAACCCATCCCACCTCTCCAAACGCCACCTCGCCTGTTGCCGTGCCGCCTCCTCGGCCTTCTGCTGTCGCAGCCGGATCAGATCTTCAGCCTGAAAGTCCGGCAAAGCATCGAAACCTGGTCGTCTAACAGGCTGAAAGGAGCTGAATGTCTTTAAAAGACTGTATTCTTCTTGTCCTATAGGTAGACAGTGCATATCTATCACATGTTTCAATGGTGTATATTGGATATATTGTGAAAGTATCTATGCTTTCTCCGGGAAGTGGCGTGCGCATCTCGATGCGTTTCGACCGGTATCTGTTCGGTGGTTGGAAGAGCCGAAGGGAACAGGATCAAAACATCAGGAACCCCAGTCCCAAGCAGAAACCTATGGATGTTCCTTCTTTTTGGTTTGCTGGAGGTCCTTTGCATAGCAAGTGGTTGGAACTGTGGAAAGATCGGACACATCCATAAATTTCTGGTTGCCTGGGGGTTCCAGGCATGTTTTACCAAATATGTGCAGCGGTTTCAAGAAGTAGATGCCGAGATGCCACATGATGCCACTGGCGTTGCCCCCAAGGTCCGTAGTGTCAAGAAACGGCACGACCATCGGACATCCTTTGATTTGTTCGTGCCCATCTTCTTCTTGAAAACCCATTTCCACCGGGACAGGAAGATGGGCCAACCCGAGCATTCATCGAGGTTTTCAAGGGAAACCCCTCAAAGGCGACGGATGGATGTCTTCGAACTGCTGCAGGGCGTTCTGGGGATGGGGCTACACAGAACGTATCCTGATCTTAAGCTGACTGGGATGAGCAAAGCATGACAGTTGATGCATTGATTTGCCATCCTTTCCTATATGATTTAGGGGTCTCAGCGAAAGGGACCAACACATTGCCAGATCCGTACTCTTGACCATGGACTTTCTTTTGATTCCTTTAGCCTCAAACCCAAAATGGGTCCTTCAACTCCCAACTTTGAACTCCCATCTTCCTATGGGAAATCATCAGTTCACCATGCATGGAAGGTGTTGGGTCAAAATTCCTGCGTTTAAGGCTTCCCGTACCACGATGGCGAGCTCTACTGGATGACCCACTCGAGTTGCCGCGCATTGATCCGCTGCTTCCGCTTCTCGGCCAGCGCGGCATCTGAGAAGAAAAAGGTGACGGGTCGATGCGGTTCCGAAGCGCACCGCCACATCCAGCAAAGGGAAAATCAAGTCTTACAAATTGAACTATAGCCCAGGCCGCCAATTCCTGGCTGTGTCTGCCTTCTGTGGTTGTGATCAGCAAAGAAAAGCGGGACGTATTAAACAACAATCACCATTTTGGGGTGACATACCAGGAACTTGGGTGCATCTCTTGGTTCATCCCTTCGGAACCTCATGATCATCACCTACATGGGTAATAATAGGTATGCTAGCCAAACTACTGGATCTGCCCCATCTCAATGCTTCTTGGCCAAGTTCATGTTTGACGGGTCGAAAAGGAACAGGTTTACTTCACCACTGGTGCATCTGGGTGGAAACGTTTATGAAACCCGCAATCTAGGCCTTGGATCTGCTTATTAAACAAATCCCCCCTACAGGAACATCAACATTGCCCGAAGACCGCTTCCCCGTGCAAAAGAACTTGCAGATGTTTTGTTCCAGTACATTGCCAATAGTGATAGTAACCCACCATACCAAAATGACCGCCCAGCTAGCATCCCACCAATGGCACCTGAGTGGGTCGTGCAAAACCTAACTGAAAAACCGTTTCCACACCGCAACATGTTTAATCAACCACTTCGCAAAAGCCTTATGGGATCTGTACCCGGATTAGATGCTCAATCCGCTGATCCTTGAAATCACCTATCCACTCAGCGCCTGTATCACTGTGGCTGAACCCACTGATACCAGTATTTGCTGTTTTGCCCTATTTCTTTGCAAAGGTCCATTGCGCGTAGGTACTTTGCGACGCGGTTCTGTGAGGTTCCTGCGGTTCTGTGCAAACCTGCACCCGGTCTCAGACCAGGGGCGGCATTGGATTGACCACAAGCGCAGTACCCCACCAAACCCTGGCAGGTTGACACCCCATATTGTTTATTACTTTTGGGGCCCTCTTAGGATGACCAATTGTCTCTGACCGCGCCGGTGAACGCTGTGTCCGGGCGTTGTCCTCTTGTCCTTGTGGTGTGCAGCTTGGCTGCGCCTGCCAGCCAGTCTCCAGACCTTGTCCTTGTCCTCCTTGTGTCTTCCTGTTGTCCTCTTGATCTTCTGCCGGTGTCCAGTTTGGCCGCGGGTAAACCCGTCCACCTGTTGTCTTCCTGTTGTCATCTTCGTGTCCACCTCTCGTACTCCTGGTACTGATCCTCCAGGTGTTGCACAACGGGAAACGAGCCCCTCGTGTCGACCACGACTTGGATGATGGCGCTGCCGAAGGGGCTGCTTTTGGCTCAGGCGCGCGTTCGTGATGGCGGCCGAGCTCCTTTTCCTCATACTCTTCATGCTGTGCTGCACTTATGCTTTGTCTTGTCCAAATGCAGCGTCAGCTGAGGGCTCTTCCTTTGGTCTCAGCTCTGCGTTCACCACGTTCGGTCCGGTCGTTCACGGATGACCCCCAAGGCGACCTTCATGGGCGTCTTTGCTGCTGTTGAGCTCTTTGGCCATATTTTCCTTGTTCCTCTTCGATCTGTCTGCGTTGAACATGGATCCTTGGATGGATAACCAACAAACACTACACTCCAACAAACAAACAGCATGTTACACTCACCTGCATCCTGGGGCGTGGGGCCTTCAGCACTACACTATAACGCACGGAGTAACGCACGGACAAACAAAGAACATCTTACACGCACCTGCTCTATGGTTGCTGTCTTGTCCATCGCCTACCCCACCCCCCAACCGGTGCAATCCCTTCGCGGTCCCAACCCTCGCGATCCAACTCATCGCTCGCCACGTCGGACGGACGGACGGTACCGTCGTCGAAGCGGTGCGGTGCGGTCGAATGGGACCCCCGGGCTTTCCAGGACGGTCGCCAAGGCATGAATATCTTCGAGCCTCGGGTTCCACGACGAGCCGATAAGTCTCACGCCCGGCGGTTGCTTCGTCACGCAGAAAGGGAGATGGAGCACGTTTTGGGGGGTTCTTTCGTCCGGTTGGACCGGCCAGCGAACCTTGGTGTTGGGAGGAGCTTCCTGCCGCACGTTTTTCGACTTCGTCGTTCTGTTCCAAAGAAATGTGCTCACTCTTGAGACTTTCCAAACCTCGCGAGGAGTTACAGTTCCGAAGCGGAGAGTCGCCATCCGGGCCATGAAGAATCTGCTTCAACCGGATGGGCCTGTTGAGACAGAACACCTCCCCACACGTCTGAGACAGAACCAGGCCTGGATGAGCATCACCGATTCCAAACAGATTTGACATCGATTTCGATGTGTCCAATTCAGGGTACGGAGCTGCATACCAGGGCAGAAGAACCCTTGTGCACCTTCGAGCAGCAAGGCCTTTTAGTCTGTAAAGGCCTGGCAGTGGCTTCTTGGGAAGAAGAAAAGATCAAATCACAAGTGGAACCCCTCTCCCAGCAGCGGCTGGCAGTCAAGGCACAAGGCCTTGACCTTCAGCCGGAACGCTTCCCGTTCAGACTCTTGGTCGTCCTGAAGTGTCGCACGAAGAAGCACCAAGACCAAGATCGATCTGACAATATTTGACATCCTGGGACCCATACTGGTCTTGGGTAGATCCCATTTGACCAGTTTTCAAAGGATGATGACTAGGTCTGGTGAGGTTGCAGGCCGACATCTCAACAGGAGTGGTGATCTTTTACCGACTGCTACTGGTAATGGAACACGGGATCCATGCTGGCGTTGAGAAGTCCATTTCATGCATTGGTGACTGTGCTGAAGCATGTTGTAAGCAGGCAACACCCATCACATGCAATGCCATGCCACCCTCCAAATGAACTGTGTGGAAGATTGTGCAGTGGAATGCAAGGCTTTAAGGATGACAACTTCTCACATTAGGAATCGGGAAGGCTTGTAGACCAGTGCCAAGTTATCAAAACAATAGACATTTGCAAATCATCGGTATACGTAACGCATCTTATATACATAAGTTTAAAAAATGACGACTTCAACTACAACACCATTGCAGGATGACATTCCTATACACAACCGCCACACGTGCTATTATATTGTGGTGCGTGCGTGCGTGCTAACGAAAAGACTCGCGCAGTCGACCGGCGTCACCGTCGGCGCACATGTCGGGGTCCTCCAGGGTCTTCATGCGTCGGTGCCAGAAGGTCAACAACTTGCTGATCCTCAGCGAAGCCGCCGTTGGCACCGCCGGTGCCGCCGGCCGCCAGCGCCGGCGGTCCGGTGTATGCTTCCGATTCACCGAAGGAGCGCCCTCCCTGTGACGAAGGAGCGCTCAGAATGTCAGCAGCTGTGGCCGGTTCCTGAGGACGAATGCCAGTTTGGGGTTCCTGAGGACGAATGACCAGCATGGGTGAAGAAATGTCCAACAACGTCCAACGTAAAGTGGTTACCTCCTTTAGTCACTCCACCATGAGCTGAAAAAGGTGGTCTGAAACGAGGGGCCCGGCCCCTCGTCCACTTCCACGAGGAACTTGGAGAAGAACTGCTCCAGTTTCGAAAACAATTGGAGCTTTCCCAGCTCCAAACGATTGGACGCATTAAAAGAACGAACATATACGGAAATAAACATATCCTGAACCTTCAAGGGGTGTCCTGTCTGGAGTCTCCCGGATAGTCCCGGACCTTCCGTGACCCCTTTTCTTCAGGTGGACTGAAACATCAACTCCCTGGAGGCGCTCGCCTCGGCGGGCACCTGAGCGTACCGACTTGCCCACCGGGTCGCACGGGTGAATCGCACGGTACCGACTGAGTCTTCCCAAACAGGTCAAGGACTAGACCGGGCGTAGTACCGGGCGTGGATGGAATCGGGTGATGGCAACTGACACCGGTTTCCCAATCGGGGTAGGGAGAGAATTTCTCCCCAAACTTGCAGGGGGTCGGTCGCTTGGGAGATCTCCCATATAGACCGACTTGAGGCCAGAGGGGGTGAACGAAAGCTAGCCGGGCTTCCGGTGGTCTGCTGCTGGTGCTGCTGCTGCTGCTGGCGCTGGGTGGTCTGCTGCGGCTGCTGCTGCCGCGGCGTTGGGTATGCTGCTGCTGCTGCTGCTGCCGCCGCTGGGTGGTCTGCTGCTGCTGCTGGTGCTGCTGCTGCTGCTGCCGCTGCTGCGCTGGGCGCTGCAGATGCTTGGTGTGCTGCAGCTGCTTGGTGGTCCCGCTCACCGCGCGCAGGGGGGAGTCGAACCGCGGGGGGGGGGGGGGGGGGGGGTCCATAAGATTGATTTAATCAATTATTTGAGGTTTCTGAGGTGCGTCCACCCCGTCACTTAACTTGCTAAAGCAAGAGCAACTCCAGCTAGCTAAGGCTAGCTTTCGTGATGAGGCCGGCCAGGGGTACGTGATTGACTGTGGGAATCCAGCCGGGGCAGCGATTCCAAATTCCAGTTTCGGAAAAACCGGGTCGTGGTGGTGCTCTCTTCGTTCCAAGGATCATCGTCTCCCGATCCTGCAGCTTCTGCCGATCCGCCTCACTCTCCGCCTCCAAGTCTGTCGGGCCCTTTTTCATCTGCGCCTGCCACGGGTTGAAAGGTCCGACGGGTCCGAGTGCGCAAGTGATCTGATCCAAGGTCCAAGGAGGTGAGTCACCTGGACCTCCGCCCTGAGCCCGGGGGACTGCTGGGGACCGCAGGGGCCTACATCTACCTTACGAGTGGAAGCGGATGGCCACCATGCCGTGGGAAAAACGATGTTCCTCCACCAACAGGGGCTGCCGGGGGTGCCATGTTAGTGAGTCTAAGTATGTCTTACCCAGGGCATCCAGTTACCACTATAGCCGGTAACCAGTGGTTCCAAAGACTAACATAGACCTAGAATGCCTGGTTCCTTATATAGTGGTAACTGGGATGCACTGGGTTATTTGCTTCACTTCCAAAATCGGACACCCGCCGTCCAATTCATCCTACCGTCCGACTCCTACCGTCGGTGCGCACCTTTGCACGCTGCAACTCATCTCCGGTGAGGAACTTCAAGAGCAATTTCTGTTTCAAAGCCAAGGTTCGCTTTTCTTGCTTCCTCAGGAGATGCACGGCAGAACCACATCAACATCGTTTACACAGCAACATACTAATAGCTATATTATAGTTCTGGGTCCTCCTCACTGATGGTTTTGAGGAACACTACGGCAGCAGAGGTGACCCAACCTGCTGCTATTGCCCTCAGTCGCACCAAGTCAGCGACCAAGCAACAAGATCGACGCAATCAATCATTGACCCAAATTGAAACAGTCTCTTGTTCGCATGGGCTGGCCTCAACGGATGTCCAAAACCAGCTTCCAACCAGGTGACATTGATCTCGTCCACCGACCACCGCACACACCGATAGAGTGAAGGTTGACCCGCAGCAAGGTACTCCTTCCAAGTAAGGGCTTAAAGGAATAGAGGCTTGATGAGGCCAGGCTTGATGAAGTTGGATGCTGCCTTCTCAAAACAGCAGTTGAACAAGTCGTAGAAGTGTTGGCAATGCATGCCCCTGCAAAAGATACTTTAAAAAACAAGTCAATTGTTCATCTCTAGACCTGCAAATAGTTCAGAGTCAGTGATTGCTCGAGCATGAGCCACAGTCGCAAATCTCCTTGGAACAAACTGCCAGGTGAAGCATCAATGAACCCCAATTTAGGCCACTTAAGCCACGCAACATTCCCGTGGGTATGGGAGGTTCCCTCAGTTGCGATATTTTTTGTGTCTTTCCTCGATTTTAATTCAGCCGAGACCCTCCGTAGCAATGGTCCGGACCTTCAATACCCTTTCGGATTATGGGGGCTTGCCGAGACTAGCGTGTATTGGCGCGTCAAAGCCTCACAAGAGAGTGTGGTGAAACCACGATCTGATCAGGCTCCCACACATCTTTTTACGAAGTAAGTCTCACAGCAACTCCTCCCTCAAACACTCCGTCACTCCGTCCGCAGCCAAGTTTCATCAAGCGCCTCAACATGAACTGATACTTCTTCTGCCGCGACATGTCGTGCAGCTTCTGCGGCTTGATTTCTGGGCGCGTCAGCCGATCCAGCGTAAGTGCGGCGAAAGGAGGAAGGAGGAAGGACACAGGAAAACACACATACAAAAAGCCAACAGAAACGTGGTTTCAGATCTTCAATGGCACATACCACTGATTTGTGCCATCTACTCTTGAAACCACATCCAGCTTCTGGTTACACCACTTACCACATCGCCCAAAAAATATTCCGGTTCCCAGCCACTGTCGATCTGGTGCGGTGTGCAGGCAGGGTGTAGAAGGACATGAGTTCACCCAGCCGATGACATATAAGATACCACATGTATTTCTATATACGCATTGTGTCCACAAAGTATATACTTATATATATATATATTATAAGTTTACACTAGTTTACACTATATATAGTTGTCTGGCATATCAACAGGGCCCAAGGTAGGCCAACACATCAGCTACCAACCCACGTGTGCTTCTCCCCAGGCATGTCCAACACAAAACCAAACAAACTGCAATGTGCATCAACTCCATTGGACTCCATCAAACGCAGCGAGAACTCATTCCACATCCGATCCTGGCAAAACCCAAGCAGCTGTTAGCTTTGCAAAAGTCGAACTTCTTCTTTGCCAAAGCCTTGGCCAAAATGTGTGGTTTTCCGAAAGTCCAACCCTGCAAAACATTGGAATTTCTTGGAGAGTTTGTGCTTGAATATTGAATCAAGGTGGCCATGGCACAATCAAGCAGCCAAGCATTGACCCAGCATGTGTTGCTTTCCACTTGCCTCCAGAGGCTTCGCAGACATAAATGAATCAACTTGTAAAGAACTGCATTCCTTCCGATCATGTTTTCTCTCTCTCTCTCTCTTTCTTCCCCCATCTTCCGCTCCCATCCGCTCCCATCTTCATCAAGCCACCGGCTCGTCGAAGGGAAACGCCAAAATCCAAGGGTCCATCACCAAGGCCTGTGGCTCCTGGCCGCCCCTTCGAGGGCTTCGTACCACTCGGTTCGTGTGGACTCGGTTCGTGGACCAGTCTGGGCTGGTGTGGACAAAGTCCTAAGAAGTTGAAGGACTGTCAGGCACCAATCGTGCATATATGTTCCACAGTTCCACCTGTGGGCGATGAAAGCCACCTCTTCCTCTTCACACTTCCCGAAAACATGATGCAAAAAGTATCTCCAAGCGCGGAGTCTGCTATGAACAGCTATAGCCGCACTACCACGACCGGAGTGATAGTGCACAAGGGCCCTACAGCCTGAGGGTGGGTGCTTTTCTTTTGTGCCTTTTTGGGGGGATATATCCCTAGGGCTCCAACCATATCCTCAGGTGGTTAGACCCGCCTGGCACCCACCCTAACCACCTAACCTCAACGGAGGTAGGCCAGGAGCCCTAGCTAGTTGGATGATCGACTCTTGAGGCCCTGGGCATCCCTGGGCTGTTTTGTGGACGGCTTTCGAAAGCTGTGGACGGTGTCTGGTGAGGAGCTGTTTGGCGCCTAAAAATGGGGCCAACATGCAGAAAAATAACCCGAGATCGGGCCACACACGACCGTGCCCAGTCCTGGGCCAGCTATCTCATGACTATCGCTATCGCTATCGAAGCACTCCGGTCGTGGTCGGCACAGCTAATGGTCGTCCCAAAAAGCCAAGCAAAATCAACGCTTTGGATCCCAAAGTCCCAGACACGACCCATGGGACTGCCATAGGACTGCCATCCCAGAAAGACCCCCCTGGCACCACCCCTGGCCCTTTCTCGGCAGTCCCAAACGGGTCGCGTCTGGGATTGGTGTGGTTGGATGTGTCACTCGAAGTTTCAAGAAGAAACCCCTCGACCTCCGGTCGGGATCTCCGGCAAAAATCGGTCCCTTCGACCGGAGCCAGGAAGCCCGGATCCGACGAAGAAACACCCCATCGACACGACAAAGTCGTGTGGAATCGGCCAAAAGGACCTCCCCGGTGGTCAACCACCCCAACTGAGTCAGGAGTGCCAGTCCCATGGCGTGTCACCGGGCTACGACGATGGCAATGGCGCACCCCAAAGCATTGAAGACTTGGTATACATGGCTACCCCAAGCTCCAAACACCACTCGCCGAGATCTGCCCACACCCGGTGCCCACCGGGTGAAGACTTTTCACGTTCGCTTCACCCCTCTCGAAGCCCTCCGCTCCGCCATGGCCCGACCCGACCCGTGCGATCCCTGACACTGAGGAGTCTTAGTTCGGAAAAGGAATCACCTTCGTACCAGTACGACCTATAACCCAGACACGACGAATGGGACTACCATGTCGGACTGCCTTCAAAAGGGCCAGGGGTGGTGCCCGGGGGGGTCAATGGGGCAGCATACATGGCAGTCCCATGGAGCGTCTGGGATAAGTATACCATGGTATACCTGATGTTTGTTCAGGTCACGTCCCATTGTTCGAAGGTACAAACGAAGTCGGGTTCGTAGCAAAAGCATGCAAAAGCTAAGGTCGGCGGCTTAAGGGATCAACACCACAGGTGGAGGGCGAATCAGTACCTTCACGAGCTGTTTCCAGGTGCCTGCTTCCAGAAACTGCTTCCAGTACACACCCAACAGTGGTCAAGGCTAGCCACTCGAAACCTCCCAGAAGCGGGTTGGAGGATCCAGGACTTGCGCAACATATTCATGTCCTCTGCTTCGGCTTCCTGAAATCATTCGAAGTCGAAAACCACTGGTTTTGCATTTAGACAAATATAGATGAACCATGGTCATCCGAACGAGCTCGGCCATGCCAACTCTCCATGTAGACCTGGAAACCGCTCCTGATGACCTCCATGTTGAACGAGATCTTTGACCAGCTTATACCGGCAACTTCCGATCAAATCAAAGGTCAAGCTCATTCTAGAAAATATAGACATGTGCTTGGAAAGCTCCGAGATCCTTGGACCAACTTTGTGCTCCCCGCCGGCCTCTGCCGAGCTGCTACTACCTGGAGGTTCCCCGGCAACTGGAGGCCACAGGCCACCCCCTCCCCTCCGCAAGGCCACGCGAGGTGAGCGGAACACCCAGTGTGGACCGTTGATTCAAACACTACAAACCAATCCCCACTGATCTACAAGGTCCACATCTTGCGCCCGACGAACTGCCGTATTGCTCATATCTGCTCCGGAACCTCCAAACGATCAGCATCTTTTGAGGCGTATACGAGGAGCGGATCGCCGACCGGCACATGACTCCGACCAACGCCGTTCTTCCGAACAAAAGGATCACCTGGTGTCCCCAATCCAGGGTTGGGCAGGTTATCCACTTGTCCTGGGCAAAGGTCTTCAAGAATCAACTCAAGATTGGTAACCGCCTCTATTAATCCATGAGCCTCTATGGCCCCTGACTACTTTCCTTCACACATATATATTGTTTTCCACGGACAGGACTCTGACTCTGTCTGTTGGTGATTTTGCAAGGGTCAAAGCTGAAGGTCCCATTCGACCCTTTTGATGCAGTTGCCCAACCTACGTGACGATGAGTAGTACTGACTTGGGTGAGAGTGATGACTTTTGCATGCTTTTCCACCTGTTCCATGACCAACTTCCCAAGGCACAAGCCACAAACTGGCCAGGAGACTGGATGCTTCCTCCTCGATCTTCTCATCACCACCTGGAATTCATCTCAGCCTAGCTCCCAATCCCCAGCGGCTGGTGCGGAGGACATCAATAAATGACAATAGCGTCATACCTGGACCCTCCAAAGTACCCTAGAACATAGGACATGACTCATGACCCTACAAAACCAGGTACTTGTTACACTGTTCTGAGGTACGAACTAGGACTCCAGGTCATGCGTTATATAGACTTGCCTCAAGAATTGCTATACTATATATCATCTCCCGGCAGCTCCAGGATCTGTTCCATGAAATCACCCCTCTTCATGTCTTTGCGGTCTTCACGTCTGGTCCATGAACACCACCTGAAACTGATCCCCAATGCAAAGAACATCAAGTGCACGAACCTTTAAATTGACGGAGGGTTCACGATAAACTCAATTTATACATGCCTAGCAACATGTATACAGCATATCATATTACATGCAGTGTGTAGTTTTATGTATACAGTAACTATATGTAATATGGATACGATTTCCTTCTTGGCTACCTCCAAGCCGCTGGGTCTCCACAAACACGACCCCCAATGCCGAACGTTGCACTGCATGATCTTGAGATCAGCTTCGAACATCTTCGAACGCTTCAACGGCCTAACGAGCTGAATGCGAAGAACCCCAATGATCAATCCACAGAGCAAAGCACACCGGTCGGTGGACTAGGTGGCTCGAATTCGGATTTCATGGGCCTGAGTTGTGCAATACTTGCGCCTGGCTTTCTATAGTGAAGGCATGGAGTGAGTCGGCTGTATCTTACTGCTATCTTGACCCGCTAGTGAGCATTGTGCTTCGCTGGCTGAAAAAATACATGATTGGCAATATTTCTCTCAAGGATCTGCTTAATTCTGGCCTCGTCCAAACCGGTCCTCTTCAGAGCTGAGGAGTCGAGTGGAACCCAGCTCCCTTCAGAAAACCCTTCGGTGACTGTAGAGGATCGCCGTTCCTTTTTCGAACGATGTGATTGCTCAAATAGAACCTCCCAGTGAGTTCAACCCCGATAGACCAGTCTACCCAGCCAGGGCCAGGGTGTCTCCCTATGAAAACATACACTCCCCTACTCACTCCCCTCTGTGCTGGCAACCTCCCCTCTGCACCTGGGGACTGCCGCGCGTTGTCGCTGATCTGCCGTGGGAATCCGGGCGTGGAGCGTCCTGAAGCCCAGCGGAGTGGCCGGAGACCCTGCGGTGGTGCCATGGTTTGCATGGGCACCCGCCACAGTAATGGGCCCCCGGCTACGAGACGTTGGAATGATCTGAAGGGGAGACGTTGGCACTACTAGTCCCGAACATGTTTTGGGATAGACCCAGCTTCGGATGGAATAGAATGATGGTGGAAAATACGACGTCTCAATTAGACCGTTCTCCACCAGCCAGGATCGTTCGGCAGAGGGTGCTTCAGGGTGGGGGCGGATGGCTCTCAGGATGTCCGACAGAGTTTTGGGAGTCTTTCCTTCGATGTCCTTGATGAAAACCCCCCCAGGTTGGCCACGTGTTAAACATCATGATCAAACCCGAAAAAGAGGGGTCCGGTTCCAAGTACCTCCTCCTTCGGTGTTGGGACCATCCTGATGGCCCCTCCTTCCAAGTGTCTCCAACCACCCGGATCCAAAGGGTATGTGGGATCCAAAGTATTTCAGACTTAGTGTTCTGGTGCCAGTTGCGCAATCCTTTTGTACAACTCAGGGGGGCGAGCGCTTCCTCAAACTGAACAGGATCGTGCAACTATGAACATGCTCTGCCTACTACACAACATGGGGTTGGGTCCCTCCCCAGTAATGAAAATTATATACAATGTTTGCAACTATTAAACTATACTTCAAAGTTAGACTTTCACACGATTAATCCAACTCCCCCAATTTAGAATCGAATAGGTGCTTGAAAGATGGTGTACACCAGGAGTGTATACATGTTGTACATGCCCTAGAAGTCCAAAGACTATTTTTTGACCGGCTGAAGAAGAGGAAGTTTCCTTTCAGGCCCCCGTTCGTCAGACCATTCTTTGTATAGTCGACTCCCAGGGTATATACTCCTCTGAGTTCTGATTGATTTCTTTTGTTCCTTTCATTGAAACAACTCTACCTCGCTCGATCCTCGGGGCCCCCCGGTCTTCGCGCCCCTTCACCGCCCAGTGCCCCGCTCCTGAGCGGGGTTCCGAGGCGCTCTTCGAGTCCTGATGGGGGGGTGGACCGGTGGACTCGTCCTGCCGCGGTGGTTTAAAGGAACCGGGAGAAAACAACAAGTACCGGTGTGTGGTTTATAGGCACCCGGATCCTTACAGGGACCGTAGCATGTGTAGAAACACTGTTGGAGGGCCCATCTCCGGGACTCTCTTCAATCTTAAACACAAGCTACCAGGTAGCCCTGGAAGAGGTCAAGTTGCGCAAAACTAACTATAGGCGCAGTAGATCATGTTTTTAACATATACGTCCGCCCAAGAAACATCACTGGACACTATTCTGTGCCATTATGACGGAGAAATCCAAACTACACGGTTGCTTTCCACATTCGATGTTGTATTTTGCAAGTCTTGACCCCCCAGTGCTGAAGGAGCTGTTTGTAACTTCAAGTGAATTAGCAAACAGCATGTGGCCGACCAATAAGCTGACTTGTTTGGATCTGTAAGATCTGCAAGGAAGAGATGACACAAACTGCATAGAGGATCATACAGGCACACAACTCAATTGATTTTCTGACCACAGCCCGCAGTTCTTGATCATTTCTCAACCCACCACCTCATCACCTAATATTATAATCTTAAAACATTGAAACATCCCATCAAAGATCAGGATATAATATGTACAACTATGTATATATTATCACCTTCTGCCTATGTATGTAACAAGGATGTATCATATGTGTTTTCTAAACTCTCACTCTGAAACCCATCTCCATCCCCACACCACCCATCCCATCCCCCCGCTCCGGTGTAGCGCTGTGTCGGTTGAGGCCCATCCAATCCACCACTTCCTCCGCCTCCTCCGCCGCTTCGGGCGCACCGGGCATCAGCTCGGCGGCCGGCTTGCCTGTACGTACAGCGGGCAGGGATGGAACAAGAAATGCATCTAGTAGGGAACAAGAACCTATACTAGTAACGAGGACACTATTATTAGGTTGGAGGCCATCGCAAGTATATGTTGGAGGCCATTGCTACTGGATCGACGCGGCACGCGACGAACGCCGGTCGCTACCCGGTCGCCTCGCACCCCGGCATCGTGCTCGTCCGGCACCTCAGGAAGCGGTGCCACCAGCGGGCCATGGTCCAAGTTGCAGAAGTGCAGCTTTTCGGGGCTTGAGGTTGATATGGCATTGTTAGTATGGTGTTACTTGACCACGTGACCACCTTGCAAATCACCGAAGTGGGAGGTCAAGAACTCAAGGTCCTGCAGACCGTTGAGGGCGCTCGAAACAGGCGTTGCATGGTGAAAGAGTCTGCGACACCACACACGCCGTGGAACGGCGCGGGGAGTCCGGTTGCAGGCCCTTCGTGGTAGGTTGACTGGTTCCACATGTTGACTGGGATTGGCAGTCCCTCCACAGGCGGCAGGAACCAATCCATCTGTAACAATCGTGATGTTCTTGCCGAAGCCGACGGCTCATGACGGCTCTACGGGTTCCAAGACAGACCGAGAGATCCTTCGGCATGTCTTTGCCCCAAGAATGCCCATGTTTGCCTATCTGGCGCGGGACCCACGCCAGCACGGAGTGGACGACCAGGAACTATGTCCGTCCAATGACCAAACATGATTGAGAGCCCAAAGGTGCCAAAGGGTGGTAGCTCAACAGTTACACTGCTACTCCCAAGTCACACAGACCTGGTCCTATGATGACACTCGAACAATAGGCCTCTACAACTACTTGTGCACATCGGTAGAACATGGTTGGGAGTAAAAACGTATACTCACAAACACAACCCCCCAAAAAAAACAGAAACACACACACACACACTTTAACAACCCTGGTTCTTCAAAGTGACAGAACTTGATATCTCGCTTTGAGGTCACTTTCAAGAAGCTGGACCTTTTCATTGCATAAACAAAGATATCAAAAGGCTGCCCTTGGATGAGAAAACTTTGACCACTACTTTGACCATTCAGATCCTCAAAAAAGACCATACATGCTGCCCTGGTTGCCGCTGCCCTGGTATCGGCAAATGATCCCTCAAAAATCAACGTGGTGCGTCGGTGTAGCATCTTGACCCCAAAATCAGGCATATATGTGTGTGCGGTTGATGGACCTGGGGGCCTTTCCGCATATGGTAGATTCTTGATTAAAAACCTCCCCATTTGAATGCGCTCACTTGCGGTCCTCGCTCCCACGAACCCCCCCTTTCCGAGATTTCCCGGCGGGGTTGGGTGGACAAATCGTCTACCTAGTAGATCCTCCAGTCCCAAACCGGTTGTGTCGACCCAAATGTCCGACTGAACTCTCCACTCCTGCCTCCCGATTTCGCGAGCGCCTCGCGAGTTCTACACCGCGCGGGTCCTGCACCCCGCGGCGGAACGGCACACCTCGCCGAGCGGCGAGCTCGCTGAGCTTCTGCTCCAAGTCTCGGATCTTCTGCAGCAACTCCTGCGATACCGGGGCCGGCACGCGGGCACGCGGGCGGAGGGACCACACCTAAGAGCGAAGGAAAAAGGACGAAGGACAAAGAACATGCAAACCTCGCAAAGCTGGTTTCTCTGGTCACACGAAGTTTGACCTGCAGGTCAAGGCTGGAGATACACTCCTCTTGGAATCAAGAAATGGTTTCAATGGCAATCAATGGGCCATGGGAATGGGCATCAAGAGTTGCCCTTTGCTCTAAGATCTGATTGTTCTTCCAGTTTTTTCCCACCACGACGCCCCACCTCTTGTTCATCACATTTCATCACTTGGGATGTGGCAAGATATGGATCATGATCATGCGGCCTTCATTCACGCGCGACCTGCTCACACAACGCACCTAATACAACGATCCTTTAGTGATTACATTCCGATACCTCAAAGGGTACTTATATACATGCCTTGAAAAAAAATACAACTCCTTTTAGCTCACATCGCGTCACATGCTGTCACACTGATCTGAGTAAACCTTCACAACTTGAGATTTGAACCTCAAGAGTCTTTTTCGGTCGGCTTGCTGAGCCCGACTGGGCCGCCGTTCTAAGACCCACATGGAACCTGATGGAAAACGATTTTCCGAAGATCAACCCAGTGGGTTTCAGGTTCCATCTTCATTTTCCAAGGATCCCCCTTGATACTAGCTTAGCACAGAGGGGGCGTTCAACCCATTCTTTTAGAGAATCATCTAGGAAATGAGGGTTCCTAAAGAATGACCTACTTCTAGGGGACCACAACCACTCCCATTTTCTAGAGGAAATACCAACAGGGATTTCCAAGGTGTATTTCCCGTGGCTCCTTGCGACATTTGTGCCCCGCTTCAATGTCGCTCCGGTGCTGGAGCAAGATGCGTTCCATAACGGCTCCTGTCGCCAAGCGAGACGCGCGCGCCGGAAAGACTAGCCAAGCCGAAGGGTGGCGTTAGTTGCTGAAACCGCGCAGGGTCCTGATCAAACAAAGTCTGCTGGAGGTTGACAGGGGCCGATTGAGAGTGCAAACCGAACGACTTCAGGCTTCCGCTTTCTTAGAAAGACCATCTGCAGTGGTTGTAGACTGAGCCAATCTACAATTCAATGACATTCAAGGGTTAATCACTGGTCATCATCAAATATTGCAATTAAGATTGAACTGACACGTCAATCAGTTGCCCCCTACTTCAGGATGTCTCAACTCTACTCCCCCCGGGCCCTTCCGAAAGGAAGTCAACCGGCCCAATCTGGGAGTAGTGACTTAGTGCCGCAGCCCGGCACGCCATCCGATCCATTTCGATTGGTGCCATCAAACCAGTGCGTCAGGAACCCGTCTGCATCACGCGGTCCGGGGCCCTGCTATACAGGAAGGTGCCCCGCCCAGTCTTTGAGCGGCAGCCGAGCGCAGTCTTTGAGCGTCTGCGTCAGGGAAGCAGGTTGCTTGCTTCGAACTTGTGCGGCTCTTGATGGATGAAACTAGCAAAACACGAAAGCCCAATCACTGCAAAACGCACGATCTCCAAAAACTGAAAGCCTGAACATAAACTTCTCCAATAACGAAACCCAAACACGAACCCTCCCATACATAAAGCACCATGGCGCTTTTAAAAGACTCCCAAAGCTGAGGGTGCCAGGAGCAAAGGTTGAGACTTGTTGTGTTTTGGACCTCAAGTGCCAGCCTGTAGGAAGTCCCAGCCATATTCACCGATAGTTACATAATCTCAGGTTACCTTATGCATGTCAGCTATCACTCTCTCTCTATATATATATATACGTATATATATATATATTGTGACATTGTGTATCTCATCAGTCTCGCTGCTTTGCAAAGTGCTGGCGTACATTACCGGCACCCCAGAACCCAAGGACGCCATTCAGCCGCTCAGCCAACTCCTTTCATTGAAGGAGCACAAAAGAGAGAACCCAACGCGTCCAGCAAAAGCCAACTGATGGTCAAACGACTAAACAAATTCAATCCATTAAAAATGTTTGACTGAAAAATGGACAGTTCAGCAATTTGATCACTTGTTTGAACAACTGTGATGTGGATCATGTGATAAATCCAAATATACAGATCGCTGTTTCTGAGGAATATCATCACGAATGCATGCTTGAGGTAGAATTTGTGTTCTTGCATTCTCCCTGTGAATGCGTGGCATCTTCCCACTTCTAGACCCCAAAAATCTTCTCCAAAGAACTCCAGCTTGCCAGTTTGCTGTTGGACCCATGACTCAGTTCACTATGCTGGACTCAGTTCACCTATTCCAGCTGACCACCAGCACCAGCACCGCAGCCCACGCGGCCGATGCCGATGATCCCCACGCGTGGGACATGGCGATGGGCGATGCGGTGGTCGTATGCAGGTCCTGAGGGACTGGACGGAAGGGCCCAGGCAACGTGGTGGAGCTATAGACCCGGCCTGGGCCCAGGCCCTGACCCACCTCTCAAATGGAGGTTAGGTGGCTGGGGTGGGTGCCAGGGAGGGGTCAGTCTAACCACCGAACCCGAGGAGATGGTTGAAACTGCTTCGAGGACTGGATCAGAGGTGCTTTTCTCCACTAAATCTGACACGGACCAGCGTTCCGCACAAGAAAGAGACTTGAATTGATGCAACTCGGCCATGGCAACTGAAGGCTCCCCCGCATCTCCTTGGCTCCCTGATGAAGGGGGAATATGGAGGACTCTCCCGGCACCGAACACTCCTATAACCAACATCCTCATTGTTAAGCTATATAGTCTTGACATAGTCGTGACATGTCTAGAATATCTGCTCTGCTGCCTGGGGGATTCTTTAAACCACAACACACACTACACAACCCATGCCTTTTCGCTGGAAGATAAACGGCTCAGCTCCGCAGCTTAGCTCCGCTCCTCCATGCAGACCTGCTGCTCTCCCTCGCAGAGGAAGACGCCCTTCGTGTCCCAGACCTCCGCCACACGCCCGCCACAGAGGCCGCGACTGCCATTGCCTCAAACAACGGCCGCAAAGAGCCAGTTGAGCAAAGATCGACCTGTCAAAAGTCATCCACATTATACCAGCATAGACCCCAAACAGCTTTGCTTTGCCTATGAGAGAACCCAAATTAATCCCATCATTCTGAAAACAGGTTGATGGACCAAACTCATCCATGACATGATGTTGAAGGCAGGAACACTTTGATCCCCTCTTACTTATGCCATGGTTTGACTCCACATAAACCTGCGCATTCCCAAACACTCCATGTAAAAATCATGTTTGCCTACATTGAGGGTGGTTTCAGGGGTCAATGTTGGCCAATTCTTCCTGGGTCGCTTTGAACCTGAAGTCAGTCCAGAGATGTGCTGCTGTTAGATCACCCGGACCCCCACGCAGAAAAAATGCACCATGCAGGAAGACCGCTCCGCAGGCCATGAAAAAGCAATCCAAAGACCTCCCCGGAAGGGAATTGACCTCCCTCAAACACATTCAAACACGACCTGTCTGGGACTGGCATGGGCCTGGCTGCCCTTGATCCGCCCAAGATACGACTCCCACAGCTCACTTGGAATGCGTTGTAGTTGGTCTGCACGAAGGGTGAGATGTTGTCCTCCTTGTCGTCGAAGAAATACCTCTGCCGCAGCTCTTGGCCTGGAAACCCCAACAACCAGAAACAAAGTTCCAATATGGCAGTGGGTCAACACAACAGTGGGTCAACACAATCCTGGCTGACCATCTAACCTGAACAAAGTAACAAACACGGTGAACCTACCAGGGATTTGGACCTCCAGGTTGTGACCCACCGCAATACGGCAATTGAGATCCCATAATGAGTGGTTGGGACTGTGGAAACATCCCCTTGTTTGTGGTTGTGCTCAAGTTGTGTTCCTTTCCAGGGAGCGCATTTCTCGGCAACGGGGTGGGAGTCTCTTCCCTTGCCTGGTTGAATCTGCATGATGCCGCTCATTCAAAGGATGTGCCAACAAAAGCTCTCGTTGCAAATCATGGCGGTCGAGGTGGAACACCCACGTGTCCAATTGTCCAAACAAAGGCAGAAGTCCCCCACAAACAGTGTTTGAGTTTGATCCCGGCACTGAAATAAACCAGGTGTCATTTCCCAGCAGTTCTTTGATCGTTTCTTTTCTCTGGAGGCTCCAAGTCGTTTCTCCAAGACATGAGATGGTCTTAAGAAAGCCTCACAAGTCTGAAAGTCAACCTGACTCTTCCCCATCGCGGACCTGGAGTCCCGTCGGAGTCGGACTCCACGGGAGCAGTCGCTCGGACGATGAGACCGGACTGAGCTGGTCACCAAAACACTCCGTAGTGTACAGAATCATGGGACTGCCATAGGAATCCATAGGACTGCCAGGACGGACTGATGGGACTGCCATCTCCCAGACACGACGACGAGTCTGGGACTGCCAGGACGGACGGACGCCCCAAAGGCCGACCCCCCTGGCATCACCCCAATTGACCGGCACGGCATATATACATGGAGCGTCTGGAGTTTTTACAAGAAGCCGGGTTCCGAGATCACATGGAATTTCCATGACCAGTTTTCGAGAGCTGAAGCTCTCTACCCCCCCAGTGGCTTTCAGGTTCCATTGTGGTCTCTGGATCGGTCGTCTGCGTCTCGACTCAGCATGCCATGGGGTTTCACCCCGGCCCTCAAAACCCGGTGTTCACAGGTCTGATAAGAACCATGTGTCTTTCTGCTAAGGAAAACCCAGGTTTTTTGATGACTTTCACATTTAAGAACCTGTTTTTTGTTATCTTTTCCTCCTCTGCTGCTGCTAAGGAATCAGGAAACACCAGTTTTTGATAGTTTTTGGATGGTTTGTGGGGCCGCTGGTAGGGATCCACTCCTTCTCAGAAGGTACCACTGGACCCGACCCTGGCGCCTACATGCCTCACATGTCTCCAATCAACTTCTATAAGAAGGTGTGTGTGGATCCATAGGGCATGCTTCCAGGTTTCGAGTGGCACGGCTCTTCTCTTGTTTAGACCCGTGTGGATTTGACCATCCGCAACTTGGAAGTGAGGCGGGGTGAAAACCGCCGGCAAGGACATGGCCACATCTTGCCACTGTGGACATCTGCACCGTCCTGGCTCACCAGCTGCTTCTGAAAACCATCGCTCCACTCGCCGCAAACACCGCGGCCAGAAAAGCGGACCGGTCCAAGGGGCACATCCTCGTCACTGATCGACACATTCCGCTCACTGCGGTACCACTCGACGATCTTCTTGACGCAAAGGTTCCTGGTTTTGCTCGAAGCGACGGACTCCGATGGACCGAAGCGACCGAAGCAGGAGGTGGGTGGGGGTGCCATCCATCGGAGAGGTAGGTAGGTAGCATACGGACCACCGGTGGGTGCCACATCCAGTTACTTCCTGTAGCATGTCCTAATGAACGACGTATCAGGAACCTGGGATTCTGAACCCACGTCCCACCCACGTAGTTCCAGGGCTGGCAGTGCCGATTCTGCAATCAAGCTCGCCATGCCAGATATGCCACGCCCGGAAGTGTCTGGCCAATCTTCCAACGTCGTCGCAGGGGGAGAAAAGGGCATCCTGATGCATCCATGCATCTTCTGCCCTTCCGCACACCACACCACAAACGGCGCTTCACTTTCCTCGAGGCCGAAAGCGCGTCGCCCGGTGCGAAGGTGTGAAGGCCTGGTGCTATCAAATGGTTTTAAAGTTCACTATGTGACCCCAAGGCTCCATGTTCCTAGCTGCCATGATCACTGGCAGCACCAAACAAACCACCCACTTGGAATGCGCTCCACTTGCTTGATTTCAGAAAATTAAACAACAGGAACAAACACGGTATGAGTTTGGTAGGAGGATGTTGTCCAACCATGCTTTGGAGCTGTTGGTTTCCACCCAGTTTTATGCAGATTTCGGAAATATACGAAGTTTCTGGTCACCTTTCTGATGT